GGGATGGGATGGGATGGGCATGGCATGGGCATGACATGGGATGGTGATGGAAAATGATGGAAAGGGATAGGAAGGGACAGGCAGGGTTGAGCAGGAGTGGAAAGGGATGTGACAAGAATAAGCAGGGCTGGGAAGGGCGAGGCAGGGCTGGGCAGGGCCAGAAGGGGCCAGGCAGGGCCATTCAGGGATGGGAAGGGATGGGCAGGGCCGGGCACAGCCATTCAGGAATGGGCAGGGCCAGGCAGGGYCAGGCAAGGCTGTACAGGGGTGGCAGGGGATGGGCAGGGCCAGGCTCTCACCTCGGTGGGCTCTGTRGCGGCATTGGCACAGAAGAGGCTCTTGAGGGCGATGCCAGAGTGATCAGTGGTGCCAGCTGTGGGTGGGGACAGCGTGTCAGTGGAGGGGACACAGAGGGGTCAGCAGGGCTGCGTGCAGACTCACCCGGGGGGCTGTCGGCCGGGCTGCTGGGCACCCGCTTCAGCGCYGGCTTCAGGGGCTTGCGGAGCGCGGGGCGGGCTGGGCTGCCTGAGGAGGTCTCTGTGCTGATCTGCACAAAGATGGGGTGGTGGGGTGATGGTGATGGTGATGGAGGGCACCCTGACTGGGCACTCCCCGAGGTGGCTGCACTCCTCACCTGGAAGCGGATGCTGGAATCGGAGAGCCGGTGCCCATCCTCGGACAGCACCTTCTGCCGCAGGGTCAGGAGCCGGCGCTGGGGACTGAGCTGGCTGTTGAGCAGGGCCCCCACCTGCGACCTCTCGATGGAGCCCAGCAGGATCATGGACTCTGCCACAAACACCAAGGAGCCAYGCTGGTTCCCGATGCTCCCTCTGCCACCCCACCCACCATCCTGGCACTCTCCACGGCTGGTGTGGGTGCCGGCAGATCCCCTGCCTGTGTCTCACCAGCTGACTCCACCAGTGGCAGGTTCTTCATCTTGGTGCCGTGCAGGACCTGCTGCAGGTCCCGGTACTTGCAGTTGAGGGTGACGTAGCGGATATCCCGCACCATGATGTCCTCCACCCGCACGTTGTATTTCCTGCCCAGGGAGGTGAACGGTGGCTTCAGAGTGATGCCGCCCCCTCCCCTTGTGCCTGGTGAGGGGTTTGGGGTTGGCGCAGGGGACACACACTCACTCGTGGTGGCCCCAGCCCAGCTCAGGGAGGTAGGGAAGCTTCTTGATGCGGATGATGCTGTCATAGAGGGAGGGCTGGAGGCTCTGGGCCACCGCGTTGGCCAGGATGACAGCGATCATGACAGGCAAGATGTGCGAGATCTGCCCCGTCAGCTCGAAGACAATGACGGCCGTGGACACCGTGTGAGTGACAGCACCYGACAGTGCGGCTGCCCCTACAGCCACCCCAAGGAGACATGGCGGGGAGGCTGTCAGGTACTGCCCACTGGGCTAAGTCCCCACCCTGGGTTCCCCTCCTAGGGCATCCACCACATCCGGAGCCCTTAGGACCATCCGGGGACATCCCCAGTGATGGGGTCGCAGGGATCATCACCTCAGCTGTGGGGCAGCATCTCCAAGTGATGCCCACCAGGCTGTCCCCGTTCTGGCTCGGTGCTTACCCACCACGGCGTAGCCCCCCGGCACGATGCGGTAGATGTTGCTGTCYGTGTGGATGCCGTCAGGGAACCAGGCTGCCATGCTCTCCCCCACCAGGCGCCCAAAGGCTGCCCCTGCCCAGAGAGAGGGGCTGGGATCGGGCACAGGGCTCTCCCAGCGCCCGACCCAGCCTCACACCCTCCCCTCAGCCTGGTGCTGCCAGGGAAGGGGACACCTGGAGGCACCCACAGGTGCCCAGTGTGGGCTGAGAGGTGGCTCCCTCCTCCCACGGTGCCCGCGCAGGATACAGGGCCTCACCAATGACGAAGACGGGCATGAACGCTCCACAGGGCACTGGGATCGTGGTGGCCAAGGCTGACATCCAGAACTGTGGGGCAGWCACTCATTAGTTGCCCTTCCTGACCCGGCCCTGCCTCTTGCCCCTGCCGTGACCCGCAGCTGGGTGCTGCACGTGGGCACCGCACCCTGTCATGGGGCATGGGCTCCTCCCAGGGGCACCCTGCCAGCTCCTCCCTGGTGGCACTTGGTGGCATCTGGCCAGCACCTCCCTGTTGGCACCTAGGAGCAAGGAGCCAGCACCTCCCTGGTGGCACCTTGGTGGCTCCCAGCCAAGATCTCTTTGATGGCATGCCAGCAACACCCAGTCAACACCTTGGTGGACTCTTGAAACAGCCACCCAGTGCCTTCTGGTGCCACCTTTCTGGCAGCAATCTGGTACCTCCCTGGTGGCATCCAGGAAATCCTTTCCTGGTGCTCCCTTAAGGATGACAGGGGCAGGAGGCACTCACCTTCATGAGGATGAAGACAACAAGGGTGACGAAGACGTTGGAGCGGGGATGGCGCCAGGCCTCCAGGATGCCCAAGTATTCAAACTCATCGCTGAGCCCCTGCTTGGCCCACGTCTGGTTGTCAAAGAGTGTCACCAGGGTGTCCTTCTGGGTGAGCTGGTGATGGGCAGGGATCAGTTGGGGCTGGCAGGGGCCCTGGGGTGGGGACTGGTGTGTCACCCCACAGCAGGTACCTGGCCAGCCATGAACTGTCCAAAGCCAGGTGGGAAGGTCAGCGTGGAGATGATCAGTGTCACTAGTGCAGGGAACAGCAGGCGCCTGGCAGAGTGACACAGGGCAGGGAGTGACTTTGATGCAGCCTCAGCTCCGCCAGCCTGCTGCTGGGCACCTCTGGGCACTGCTGGGCACCGCTGGGCACCGCTGGGCACTGCTGGGCACCTACTTCTTCATGAGGAAGCGGTTGATGGTCTTCTGGCGGCGCATGAACTGCACGATCTTGCGGTTGAGGTAGACAAAGAGCGCGCCCCCGAAGCCGCTGGCAATCCTGGGCAGAGCCAAGGGGTGAGCACCCACGTGTCGTGCTGCCACCACCAGCACCACCAGCGCCGCCACTGCCACCCCTGGGGCCATGGGACGGGTGCTGGGATGGCCGCACTCACCCGATGACGGCAAAGGCAGGCAGCTCCTGCAGGTCGAAGGGGAAGTCGAGGCGGAAGCGGGTTTTGAACAGTGCCGTGATTGTCTCTGGGGGATGGTGGGGGTCAGTAGGGCCGGGCAGGGGACCCCTGTGCCCTCACCCCACCCGAGGTACCTTCATCCTTGTTCCAGACAGCGAGGACGCGGAAGATGAAGGCGCTGAAGGTGGCGGCAAAGAAGCCACGCCAGTAGTTGCGGACRGCAAAGAAGGTGGAGGTGACCTCGATGCTGAAGAGGACGCCTGGCATTGGGGAGAATGCACAAGGGAGGTGGAGAAACTGAGGCAGGCTCCTGGTGCCTGGCATGCTTCCCACCCTGAGTCCATGCTCATTCACAGCCCATGGCTGCCCTGTGGACACACTGTGGGGCGGTTCAAGGGCTTCCCTGGTAAAGCACGTGGTTGGTCCCAGCTGGCCACAGTGGACACGGGACAGCGGGCCAAGCACGAGTCTGCATGAGAGGGTGGCACAGGGATGGGGGCAGCGACATGAAGGGTGGCACTCATGGGATGGAGTGGGGTGCACACAGATGGACGGACAGACAGATGGGGCAGCAGGCAAAGGGCAAGGAAAGAGTCAGACACATCACCAACCTACGGGCAGGGCTCAGCGGGACTGGAGTGGGGAGCTCCCTGGAGCGCAGGGCGGCAGGGTAGAGGACAAGAGCAGACGTTACACATCTGGGAGGATGGTGCCCGCTCCTCCCTTCTCCTCCCTTCTCCTCCCTGCTGAGCAGCACTGCCCTCTCCCATGCCAGCTGTCCTGGGGCTCCTGCTGCCTGGGCGGGAGGTGCGGGGAGTGTGGGGTACCCGGGGTCACCCTACCTCCGATGGGGGCGGCGAAGCAGCAGCCAACGCCGACGGCACAGGCAGCTGCCAGCATTTCAATGTTTCTTGCCTCATTCTGTGAGGGAGAAAGGAGTGAGTGGGCACCGCCTCCCAACCCCAGGCATTGCCAAACCTGCTGGTGGGCACAGGCTGATCCTCCTGGGGCCAGCCTGCCTTGCATACCTCATAGAAGCCCCCGAAGAGGGAGAGGAAGCGGCTGAGCAGGGCTGCACACATGCTGGCGATGTGGACAAAGGGACCCTGTGAGGACAACAGGGGGACTGAGGACATGGCCCTCATCCCCACTCCCTGRCCCCCCGCTCACCCTGCCCCAGGCACTGCCCTCACCTCCTTGCCCAGGGGCATGCCGCTGCCCAGGGCACATGTCAGCCCGATCACCTTGGCCACAAAGGTCTTGAGGGTGAGGTATTCCTTCAGCACGACACCCCGCAGGATGGTCTTCATCTCCGGGATCCCTGAGCCTGGTGACATGGGGACAGCCTTAACCAAAAGCCATGAAGCGGGGGGGACACTGCTCCATGGTTCTGGGGGTAATCCTTGATGTTCTGTCACAGGGAGATCCCAGAGACACCTCCTCCCACAGTGCAATTGGCAGGAACAGCCCCATGATCATGCAGGGACAGCTCAACCCACAGTCCCATGGGGACCCCAATGTCCTAGCTCCCAGAAGACCCCCTGAAGATCAGCTCTTAGGCCTAGGAAGAACCCGAAGCCTGCTAGCCTCATAGCCCAGGAAGACGTTCACCCCTTAACTCACAGGAGACTCTCTGAAGACCTGCTCATAGCCCTTAAAAGAGCCCCAACCCCATAGCTCAGGATGACATCCAAACCATAGTCCCCAGGAACCCTTCTGAACACTACCCATATCCCTAGAAAGACCCCCAGGATCTCCAGGAAGACACCCAGGCAGCTTCCAAGGCACAGCCCTGGGGAGTGGACACCCTGTTTAGGGTGCAGGCAGCCCCTTGATGCCCTACCCACGGCCTGGGGTGCGAGGATCTGGGTGAAGCCGGCCGAGAAGGTGATGAGCACCGTGGGGTAGGTGACCCAGGCCATGTACTGCAGCAGCACGTTGGTGTCCAGGCCCCCGTACATCCACTTCTGAGCTGTGGGAACAGCCGGCCACATGGGGTGTGGGTGACAAGGCACATGGCATGGCCCAATGGTGTGGCCACTCCCTGCCATGCCGTGGCCCCAGGAACCCACAGGTGCCCRCTTACCTTGGAGGCAGGTGGCGATGGCAAAATCCATGGCCCAACTGACCAGTGCCATGACCAGCCCCAGCAGGATGAGGAAGACCCAGTCCTCGCCCACCTTGGAGATGAGGAACCGCTGGCACTGCAAGGCGCACACTGCGGACACAAGGGCAYGCTCAGGGCTGGATGAGCCAGGGAGGGGCACACCGAGGTGGCAGAGCCAGGCTGGCAGCAAGGCAAGCACTCACAGCCAGCGGCACTGACCCAGCACTGTTGGCACTGTCGGGTGCAGGAGCACCCCTGTGTCCAGCTGTCACAGCCAGCTGACCGAGCACAGCCACACATGGCACCTCCCACYAGCACAGCCTCCCTGGCATGGCCCCAGATAGAGGGGCTGGGGGCCCCCGGTCCCTGCAGCGTGCCCGGCTATTTTGGGCTATTGTGTCCCTGCTGCCCGGCGGGCAGGTGGCATTGTCCTCGGCGCCGGTGTCCCATGACAGCCAGGGAAACTCTACCCGCCACCACCGCGGCGGGGTGGGCAGCTGTGTCCAGACCGTGCCTCCGTGGGGCTGTGCCCACCTGTGCCCGTTCCCYGGTGACCCTTACCGCGACAGGGGGCACAGCGGCCCTGGCTGTACTCCAGCAGCTCGGAGGGGCGGCGGGGCCGGGGGGTGTCCCCCTCGTGCAGCCGCAGCCGGGCTGCCTCATCCTTGGCGAAGGTGCCCAAGTCCTGYGTGTAACGCCCATACATCTGGGGGAGAAGGGGTGGGAAGGGGTGTCAGGGTGCCTGGGACCCCAGACTCCTGCACCTAAGTGGGGAAAATGAGTCAGAGGAGCAGTGGGCACGCTGGCATGGCCTCCCAGCAGCAGGGGTGCCAGGTGAAAAAACAGGCCTGGCATCACAAGGTAAAGGGGTGGAGGTGCTGTGGGAGTGCCCTGCTGCCCTCCGGGGCGTGGGAAGGACCAGGCAGATAAGGTGTGTGTGGATCGATGGTGATTGTTTTGCCCACGTGCCCAAGGCAGGCAGCTGAAATGTCGATACAAGTCTCTGGCCCTGCCCAGGTGCCCCAGGCTCCAGGCTGGGCTGGTGGAGGGTGGAGAAGGGCCTCCAGTGATGGGAGCGTGGCCAGCTCGGCCAGAAGGCTCTCAGGGCTGGTATTGGGCTTGTGCTGGCACTCTGCAGGCACCACACCCGGCATTGCTAAGGCTGGGATACCCCCCAAAAGCAGCCCGGGCAGGTCACAGGTGACATGAGCTGGCTGGGGGCAGCTGGCAGCAGGGAGGCAAGGGGACAGTGCAGGACAGGATGTACCCCCAGTTTCAGGAGAGAGGGTGGCACAGCATCAGGCCCAGGGCAGTCCCTGGGCTGTGAGGAGGCGCTTCAGGGAGCAAAGGGGTGCGAGTGGCTCCGTGCCTGCGCAGGGATCACCCCCCTTTCCTGGGGTGCCTCCTGCCTGGCTGTGGCACGTGGCCTGGCCCTGACAGGGGGTGGCCCTGGCAGTGAACCTTGTGCTGGCCAGGAGCTCTTTGTGCCCGTCCTCCCCGCTGAGCCGGGGGCATTTGTCCCGCGCTGGCGGGCACTGCCAAGGACTCGGTTGCTTGGTTTCCGCCTCGCTCCCCCCCGCACGACCTGAATGCCAAGCGCCAGAGGTTGGCCCGGCACAAAGGGAGGCTTCAGGGCCGCGGGGGCCCTGCCAGGCTCCCACGTCGGGACAACGTGAGCCCCATGCTGATGGCGTGCCCACCCGCCGTGCCGTGCCAGCGCAGCGCGTGGCTGCCCAGCCGGGGCACAGCCGCCCTCCTCCCCGGCACGGCCCGGCACAGGGGCRACGCCACGGGTGGGCACCGTGCTCGGCACGTGGGCAGCCTGGCCCCGGCTGCTGGTGGCAGTGCCCACTCCCGATGGCCGGGTCCCATTTGCAGCCCCTGGCCTGCTGGCACACGACAATGACAGTGGGGATGGTGCGAAGGTGCACTTCTCACGGGCAGCGCTCCTGCCCAGGTCCCTCTGGTAGAGAGCAGAAAGCAGCCAGAGCGGCGCCGGGTGGATTCTCTGCTGTCTAATACCCGGGTTGTGCCCAGCAGCGGGAGGGAGGGTGGGGATGTAAGCAGCGAGAGGACAGTGAACTAATTTCCATTGCTGACCCTGTCCTGGTAGGGATTTTCCCCCAAACTCCTGCTCAGCATGGGTTCAGTGGCTCCTTGCCCTGTGGAAAAGAGCTGGGGGGAAAGGCACGGCCACCTTGAGGGGCCAAATCCAGCATCAGCTGCCAGAGGAGGACCCCAGCCCCGCACGGGGTCTTGCTTTCAAAGGCTCCCTTTGGAAAAAGCTTGTTTGCTCTGGAAGATTAAATGGGCCGGCACCCCAGGAGTGCTGTCACCCTGCCAAGCACTTGCCTGCCTGGCCCCACTGCTGACCCATGGCCAGCCCAAACCGAAATGGGAGCACCCCCAGGCTGAGTGACCCCAAACTGGCTCTGTGCCTASCTCCTGGGGCTGTGCCAAGGGCTGCCACACTGGCCCCCAGGTGCTGGGGCTCACGGTGGGATGCCCAGTCCCAGGGGCTCTGGCCTGGCTGGGGCTGGTGGGATTTGCCACCCCTCTGCCTTGCTTTGCAGCCAACCCCACTTGCAACAACAGGGATGCAAACAAAGGGGCTGTGCCGCCCCACTGCCACCTGCCACCCTGTGCCACCCCGTGCCACCCCTCTGCCCCATGCCACAGCCCCGCTGCCGGACACGGGACCCCCACAGGTGCCCGGTGCTGAGCAGCCACAGCTACTGTGCCCTGGCATGGCCATGAAGAGCAGTGGTGGGCTCTGTCCTTCCTCCTCCTCCTCCTCCTCCTCCGCTTGGGTTATTTTTCCACAAAGGCCTTTTGAAACACAAACAGCCCCGGGACTCCGGCCTCTGCCGTGAAGCAGCTGAACAATCACAGTGCTGGGCGGGCAGGGAGCGGGCACAGGGGGGGCTGGCGGGGGGCACTCGGGGACACGGGCACGGGCCAAGGCCTCTGTGTTGGTCCTGGGCCCCTGCGCTGCGGGCACCGGCTGTGCCACAGCCCCTCGGGCACTGCCAGCCCGCGGTGCCTGCTGTGCCCGGGCGATGCTGTGCCCAGGGCGGCCACTGGCATCTGGTGCTGCTGTGTCCCTGTGCCAGCCTGTCCCATAGCACTGAGCCTGCCTGGCAGTGGTGCCCACTTCCTTGTGGCTGATGCCAGCCAACCTTCCCCCCCAAATTTCCCCTAGGGGAGATATTTAAAAGCAAGGGGGTGAGGGTTCTTCTGGGCTGGCAGTGGGCAGGCAGAGGCCAGGGGCTGTCACGCTGCCCGTCTTAGCCAGKCTCTAATCACCCTGAGCGGCTCTGCAGTGAACAAGAGCAGTTTGTCAGCCTTAATCCCCCCCCAGGGGCCCTTTGCTCCCCCCACATGGGAAGCACCCACTGCCGGGCAGCCTGGCATGTGAGGAACACTGGGGCTGACGTGCACCCCAGCACCCTCTGAATGCCAGGGGTTCCCACAGACACCTGTCCATCATGGGGACCCCAGGGAAGGATGCCGTGGCCTGGGGAGACCTTTAGATCTGGGGGCCCGAGAGCCATGGCCATGCCATCCCAGGATTGGTGAAAACTGGGGAGGGGAAGGGTGTGGGGTAGGGACAGAGATCTGTGGGCACAGCCCTGCAGCCCAGCTGTGATGGTTGGGCTGTGGGCACGGGCAGCAAGAGCTGCCCCCAGGGCTGTCCAGCTCAGACCAGCCCATGCCAGGCTCCAGCTGGGTCCTGACCATCCTGGCAGGAGCTGGCAGGAGCTGGTGGTGGCTCAGATGCACTGGGGAGGGCTGGGCACTCCTCCTGCCCAGCACGTGCCCAGGCAGCTCCCGAAATGCAGGTGTGAGGCTATKGGACAGGAGCCTGCGCCCAGCCTCACCCAGGAGCCCTAGGCACTTTCAGGAGCCTCACTGAGCCCAGAGGCCATGGGGATGGGCACCATGGAGCGCTCATAGCATGGGTGCTACCCTGCCCAAAGAAAAGGAGGGCAAAGTCTGCTGGTGCCAAGCACGGCTGCCCTGATGGCAGCCCAGCGTGCCTCTCCCCTCACGCACTGCCCGCAGGCTCCTCCGCCCCGCGGTGCCCGGCTGGGATGGCCTCTCTGCTCACCCACCGTGACYGGGGCGCCCGGGGGCCCGTCCGGAGCTGGCGGCGGAGAAAGGCACCGCCACAGCTCACCGCTGCTCCTGCCCCCGACTGCTCCCTGAGCCAGCCCTGCCGGGAAGGACTGCGGGGTCAGCAAAGCCGTGAGGATGACGGCACGGCCGGGGCTCCCATGGGGTGCACCCATGGCCAGCTGGTGGCCCACAGCCATCCGGCAGTGGCGGGGCAGGGCCAGCGTGGGGTGGGCACTGAGGGCCAGCACCAGACGAAGGGTTTGGGTGCTTGGCAAGGCAAGGTAATGCAGAGGRTACAGAGCAGCAGTGCCCTGACGCTGCCCCATGCGCCCATGCTGGGTGGGTCAGGCTCAGCAGGGCCCGCCCCCCGCACCACAACCGGCTCAGGCTCTCTCGGGCTCCCGGGCACGACAACTCTGTGGCCACACAGTCCCTGCTTCCCGGCACAGCTCCCTGGCCCTGCCTGTCCGAATGCCTTCGCCAGGGCAAAGTACCGTTCGCCTTGGGCACCGTCCCAAATGGAGGCCCGGGAAAAGCACCTTTGCCCGCGATGTCTGAGGGCCGTGAGCAGCGGAGAGCAGCGGAGCAACTGGGGACACAGCGGGGAAGGAGGACACCCCGGGACAACGGGACACCCTGGTGCCAGTGGGGAAGCGTCGGAGGAAAAGAAGTTGTAAACACGGGGCTAAGGTTGCAGGTGGGGGAGATACGTTATCTTGGGGGCAGAGGGCTGGGGACGAGCAGTGCGGGGGAGAGGTGCCCGGGCGGCGCCTCTGGGAGCCCCCGCACGGTGGGCATCCCTCGGCAGCGATGAGGGGTGTTGAGAGGGGGTGCCGAGGTGTGCGCACAAGTCCTGCCCTGGGGGTGGGAGCTCCGCTGGGCTCCTCCACCGCCGGGGGGGCTGCGAGGGACACCCCAAACAGGGCACCGCCCAGAGCAGGGCAGCACCCCCAGACCCCCAAATCCCCMGGGTGCTCCATCGCGCCCCGTCGCTCCCCGTGCCACACCGGCACCCGGAGCCCGCCCGGTGCCCGCGGGACTCACCAGGGTCTGCTCATACTGCAGCGCCCGCTGCGCCTCGCTATCGGAGGCCATGGTGCCGCCGCTCCGCTCCGCGCCGTCCCGGTGCC